TAATTAAAAGAAAGCTTAAGATATAGATATGTGTTTCCTAAGAAACCACGACAGCCATTGTCAGCGTACATCAAGACAATTTAGTAGTGAAAACTGCAAAATAATTGGCATTAGAGTACTGTTGAAATATAATGTCATTTGCTTAATCATCTGTTCTTGTAGTATAAGAACAAGAAAATAACATCAAATGTTAATAATTTTTAATATAAGCAAACCATTTTAAACACAAATGACAACATATGTCATCCAAGATTCTCCTAAAAAAAGTGTTTAGATGACGCTTAAAACATTTATAAGCCCCATTTTTCTGATATATAACTTTACGGGGTACAGTGTGTACAAATTAATAATTGAAATTCTAAGTACTTTTTTTCTCAAATTCATATGCTTCATTAGGAATTCTGAAATTTTGAATTTGTGAAACAAACAAGTCCACAAACCGTTTACTTGAAATAAGAACTGATCGCTTTTTAAAGGCACGTCAATCTTTTTTTTTCTTATGAAGTTCAAACAATAGCTTTGTAAGGTTTAAATAATACATTAGTTTAAGAGAATGATTGGTGCTTATTCATTCAAGTGTTATAATGGATTGTATAACACATAAATCGTTTCATGATATGATTTGATCATATCCCATCATGCATTTAGGTCTTATCATTAAATATTTTATAATTCCTACTCTCACCCGGAGGCTGCATTTTAAGACAAGTTGGCATATTTACGTTTTATCCAAGCAACTAAATAAACCAAACTAAAGTAAATACTTCGATGTGCCAATTTTAAACATGTAACTTATAAATATGAAATATTCATGTCTTGCAAATAATCATATCAATGCAATTATTGATTTATAACAATACAAAACAAAACAGACTTTCGTATGCCTATTAGCACATATTCTGTCTAAATGAATAATAAATAGAAAATCAATGATGATTTTCAGTTAAAATGCACAATAACAGTTACTCCCTTTGTCTTATTATTGCAATACACATAATTAAGGGTAGATCATTTTGTTCTCCGTGTTATCTTTATAAGGTATAATAGAAGCTCGTTTATAACATCGGGCACGTAAGTAATTCATACATAAAAGCCGAGAACTTATCGGACCCGAGTTTTGAGATCTTTATTTTATGAAATTGAAAAGAAGTGGGGCATGATGATGACTTCATGAATTCTGACGCAATATGTCGACAGTTTCACACTTTGAACACATGTTTGGGATTATTCAGGTTTTTTAGGTATATATGACGATATAGATAAAAAAAACACTTAATGATTGACAATTTTATTAATTAACTACACATAATCTAAAACAGTAAAGTACTTAGTGAACAAAAAATAACTAATGTGAAATTCCCTTGTTGTTGGGTAACGCAAATGTGATTCTTGTTTTAAAAATGTCTCGGAAACCTACCTTGCATTAATTCAAAATGGCGGGTTTTTTTTTTCAATGGAAAAAAGCAGATTCATAATGGCCGAGATGGAGAGCCAATGAAAATTCTCCGATCTCATAATAGCCGAGTTTCCCATAAAGGCCGTACTTTTTGCATAATGACCTTGTTTTATGTTCATAATGTTGTGGTGATTTAATAGTAGCCTTACATTTGATATGAAAACGTGCCTAATATTGAAAAGAAATAATTAATAATGGATTTTGATAAATGGAAAGAACAATACCTGAAACTTGCGGACGAAAAGAACTTTTGATTGCACTGTCAGCAAATAGAACATATTAGTTTTAAAATGTATCTTTGCGACCTTTTGTACTAAAAATTAACACTTTACACAATATATTCAATGCAAATGCAATGTATACAAATTATTTTATGAAAACTTAAACAATATTGTATACTGACGATAATCATCACATGAATACCACTGCTGATGTTTTAAACGAAAGTACATGTCTTAAAGGAGCTTCACTGATGAAAAAAACTTAAAACATTAAAGGAGACGCACTGAAATCGAAAGACTTAAACATTAAATCTGAAATTGTTTCATAAATCAAGTAAAGCACTTACCAAATGGAAAATTCTGCAAACGCTAATAAAGACAATTGCTCTTAATTAAACTGAGTGCCGATATTTTGTGGAATTCCTAGTCTGATTTGAATAGATGACGTTCCAACGCTTATCATTTTGGGTTATTTTGCACAACAAAAATAAATACTCGGGAAACACGGAGTGAGGTAATAATCTGTAAATTAAAAATTAGCATACAAGTTATTGGTTCAGACCAACATCAAATAGTACACAAATATTTACAGTCATGTCTTGTATAATTGCTAGGAGTTCTGTCACTCTGTTATCACGTATTTTTTATATTTTTATGCTAAAAGTTAATTTTGAATGAACATAAATACAGAAAGGGGGTCATATAAGGTTCAAGCAACCTATAAACTACAAGTAAACATATATGACTGGTCAGTTATAATTAAAGGAAAGCATAATATATAGATGTGTGTTTCCTAAGAAACGATGACAGCCATTGTCGGCGTACCTCAAGACATTTTAATGGTGAAAACTACAAAATTATTTGCATTAGGGTATTATTGGAATATGATGTCATTTGCTTAAGCATCTGTTCTTTTAGTAGAAGAACAAGAAAATAACATCAAAAATTAATAATTTTTGATATAAGTAAACCATTATAAACATAAATGACTGCATATGCCATCCAAGATTCTCCTAAAAAGTATTTCGAGGACGCCACAAACAATTATAGGCCCTTTTTCTGATATATAACTTCACAGGGTACAGTTTGTACAAATAATAATTGAAATTCTAAGTATTTTTTTCTCAATTCGTATGTATGATTCATTTAGAATTCTGAAATTTGGAATTTGTGAAACAAACAAAACCACAATACGTATACTTATACGTATAAACAATAGTTTTGTAAGGCTTAAATAATACATTAGTTTAAAAGAATACTTGATGCTTATATTCATTCAAGTGCTAGAATGGACTGTATTACACACAAATCGTTTCATAATATGATCTTATCCCATCATGCCTATAGGTCTTCTTATCATTAAATATTTTATAATTTCTACTCTTTCCTGGAGGCAGCATTTTAAGAAAACTTGGCATATTTATGTTTTTAAGCAACTAAATAAACCAAACTAAACTAATAATTCGATGCTATGACGATAACCAATACGCAGTTAGTCTAGTAATCGCAGGAAATCTAGGTTGGCTTTATGAGAAATAGCATATTTATGATCTTCTTATGTTAAAGCAACTCTATCAACAATTATTTATTGTTCGTATCTATACTATCAATTCTTATTGTCTTAAATAAATCTAAACTAATTAAGTCCGGTACATATCCGTTAAACTAACACTGTCGTACTCCCAAAATGGAGGACGATATGATCTCATAGGAATTTTATGTTTTGAATCTCTCCGCAGGATACGGTAAAATGTAAATATTCTTAAAAACTCTGTATTTTTACTTTTTAATCATTATTTTATTCATAACTGGTAAACATTCATTTGCCGTCTATTTTTTTCTTTTAATCATTTTTATTTACTTATTTTTTTTAAATTATATTTTTCTTATTATTACTTTTTATTTATTCATTTTTTTTGCTATTTTGTTTCAACGTAATAAAATCCAATTATAGTTAAGATATTAGGTTTTTATTAAATTTAATTTATATTAATGTTTGTAGGTGGTCAAAACGATTTTTGTAAAGTATGACAAATGTGTTCATAAAATAAATATGTTTTTGTTATTGTTGTTGTGATGTAATTTTGTTTAATCGCATGAACAATGAAAACACTAGGACACTAGACTGAGTTAGAATACAGTTTTGAAGTTCACTCGATGGTATAAAAAAAACCAGTCAAAAAGAAAAATAGTGTCTTTTTTCCAAAGTAACTGTAGGCGCTTATGTCATATAACGAGTTTTTTGGTAAATAGTTTTCAATAGAGGCTGTCGTCATCTAATGAAGATAAATTTCACGATTTACATATTTTTCAAGCAAGACTAACGAGGTTTATAGAATTTTATTTCAAATTTCCATCGTATGTAAATACCAAGTATCTTCGACATTATGACAAAAATGATATTTGGAAATCTAATTATGGAAAAGTTTAATTGTAGTTTCCCCACCCCCAGGGTTTTCTGATAATGATCGTGTCACAGAAAAGCATAATAAACGTTAGAATTTTTGTGTGTAATATTTAAAGATGATTTGAATTACTATACATATTCTTTGCCGATTTTTTAATCGATTTGAGTTCTATGATAACAGTGATTTGTTCCTTGCTTTTAAATTAAATTCAATCTATGAATTACAGCAAAAACAAGAGCTTTACTTATCAGTTTATGTGTGCTTATATTTCTAGCTATCAATTAAAACGAAAGCTGTTAGATTTTTACGGGTGTTTATATCTTCTTTCAAATTCATATTATGTTTGACATTACAAATATTACATCTGTATGTCTTTGATAACTTGTTCAGCCTGAGCTCAAAAGAGAAAGCAATGGAATAAAAATTCAAGGATCGCTAACAAAAACAACATTTTCGACTTTTTTTGCAATTCGTTTTCCAATCTTTGGGCGAGGCGAAATTTCCACATGACATGTGATCTCTGATGTTGAGTATAATATACGTTTGCCACTCACAGATGTGATGAGTAGCCGGTAACTTGGGGGATGAATTGGTATTAACTCGTAAATTATCAAAAAAAATAGTCACCGGTAATTGTTTGCTTTGTTCCATTCAATCCCATGACAAAATACAACAAAACATCAACTTGGATAAATAGATTCACATTATGTGGCAAATTGCAGTAACAGCAATAAAACAATCAGCAGAGCGTGATGCTGTTGAAAGTTTTAAAACAAGCAGCACAGAGTGATGCTATTAAAAGTTATAAAATAAAATAAGCAGAGAGTGATGCCAAAGAAACAATCAGCAAAGCTATATATTGTTGAATGTTACAAACGTGATGGTATTGAAAAATATAAAACAATCAGCAAAGCGTAATGTTAATTAAAGTTTATTTTATAAATTTAAAAACATTTGAATAGGATTGTTTAGGGGGTTGGTGGGGGAGATCTCTTTGAATAATTATCAGTTTTAAAACACGAACACTACCAAATAATAAAACTCCTCTTTAGGGATAGCATAAAACATTTAAATCATTAGGAACAGCCACTTGTCGGTGGAACGTATTCCTTCTCGTTTTCTGGTGGCTGAAACTTCGGGAACGGCCACTGTAGCTGTAAAAAAAATGTAATTTTTCAATGACAAAAATAGAATTTACTTCTTAAACATTTGATAAATATTTGTATCTGAGAAGAGAGAGAGAGAGAGGATACAATTTTAGTCTTCTCTAAGATGTGTATGTACTTTATATGAAATAATAGAGATAGATATGAGGTTTGAAGCATGAAGTTGCTAGCTATCTTCATGTAAGAAATATTCTGATTATTTGCATTTTTTGAAAAAAACTAAAAACAACTTTATATATTATATTGTTATATAATTTTATTACTGCAATAATACAAAAAAGGATCTTAATAATGCATGTTGAACTCTAGCATTAATTTGTAATATATCTAAATGATAACACGAGTTAAATGTTGAATTGAATTATTTTCATAAAGGGAGCTCCACTGAGGTCCAGAAGTCTTAAAACATAAAATTTTAATTTCTGACATAAATCTGCTAGCGCACTTAAATATAACGATGTACAAAAGATAATTACGAAATAAACTGAAAAATAATTTCAAATCGTATTTTTGTAATATACTTAGCCCAATTTTGGCAGAAAAACGTTGCAATGCTTTTCAATTTTCGATATTTTATATAATAAGAATACTGATTCTGATAAACGGAATGAGTGAATTATCTAAAATTTTGCACACAAGTTATCTGTCTAGGCCTTCATCAAATGGGACATTAATCTCGAAAATCTATTTCAAGTTCCGTCATGTCAAATGCCTTCAGTGGAGCCCCTTTAAGTACGATGATAAATAGTCATGGAGATATTATTAAATATTATGACGTCAACCATCCATTTCATTTTTTAAAAAATCAAAATTCATGTATAAATACAAGATTTAGTTACCGGTACTTCATGTCCGAGGCAGTACTGCTCATTTGTACAATTGTTGGCATGCGACAGAAAGTAGTCCAAATTACTACTCCAGTCAATGTTTTCAAACGCTTGGTGTTTCTGGAAAAAGACAAGGTTTAACACTTTGTAGTAAACAGTAAAGCTATCATATTTGGTGCCCTATTCTTTTAAATGTTTTGTCTTGGCTCAAAGGAAAACAGACCTTGTAATTGTCATATGACGACTTTCAAAACTCTTCTAGGGACAGTAATCTAAATATAGTCTTATTACCTGCCCCTAGTTACTACTTATTTGGACAGAGTAGGCAAGGAATCAAACTACCAAAGGAATTTACTCAGATCGTTATTGCTAGAAAACATAATAAGCGGGCATCTATCGTTAACCATAAAACTTTAGACGCTTGACTCTAAGTTGACTATCATTTAATGACTCATAACTTAACAACTGTTAAAGGTTGACTGAAACTCTGCGATTTACTGAAACTCCATTAAATAATGTTACTCGGAAAAAGTCTGAGAAAGGTTTGAAAAGGCTTATATTAATTGTCAAAAGTCAAATGTTACTAAAGTTATAGAAATGAAAAGAATAAATGCATTGAGGTTGACTTGAAACATATCTTTGTGCTCGATTGTATAAAAATTCCGACAACATATTTTGACCACAATCTTGCCCGCCAATAATTGTCCAGTAATGATGTCATATGCAAAACAATATATTCAATAACCGATTCGGGCACACACCTATAATATCTGGATTGAAAGGCAGACAGCTTGAGCAGTACTTACACAATGGGTAAACGCATCTTCTTCCTTTACTAGAAAATAAATTTACAAGTTGAATCGTATAAGCTTGCAATTCATAATACAGTGATTCCGTTTCTACACGGTAATAAGTCGATCGTATTATTAGGAACTAGCACGCTTACGTTTGTTGTATCAAATGGGAAGTTGTCCAACATAGGACGTGAAAAGCAGCCCGATAGTTTCATCCTGGGGTAGTAAAACACGAAAGAGTTACACATCTCTTCCTCTGTTGAAAATCCGCCCTAAACAATACAAAACCATAAATTAACGTTTAAAATCAACATAGATTCATTTCCAACCTACATAATTATATTTATTTAAACCTTACATTTATTTAGTTCAAACCTACATATATTCATTTAAAATCTAGACAAATCCATGCCACGCAGACGCATTTTACTACTGATATTTGTTCAGACATTAATGACACTGCCATTTGTTACGTCGCTTTTCATTGGATAATTATGACGTTTCTCGTATCTCGTTTATCATAATGCATGCTTGTGACGTCGCTTTTCATTCAATTTGGATAATCGTGACATTAATATAGTTTTATATATACGGTTTCTGTCAATATATAAAGAAATCTAACTTTCTTTTCTGACTTGCTGTATTATATAAATTCATTATAATTATGCCTGACAGATTGTATGACCGTTTATAAACGGTTGTTTGTAATAAATCGATGGCCTAGCGTTATTTCTAAACAACCGTTTATATAGGGCCATGCAATGCAACCTGTCAAATATCTTTATAAGTAAAAATATATACGGCTGCTACACGTATCAATTTATGAAGTATTTTCAATTTCTTTTTGTAGTAAAGAATGTTTTCTATATTATAATTATTGACATGATATGGCAGTTTAACCGTTGCTTGCATCCAGTTGCTCGGGTTGTATATGCAACTTGCCCCTTTATATAGTGTCTACTTTAAACAACAGAAACGTATGATCACAACTTACAAATGTTGTTGTATTCCTGTTTTTGGTATCATATATACAATCCACTTGTAAACTGTCACCCTGCAACAGGATATGTTATGTCAGTAAAAAATTCTGAGGGAAAAAAGCGAAATTTCCCCACGTCAAAAATTGTGATATTATTTGGTTACCTGAAACAACGGATAACCGGTTCGGACCCGAATATAACTTAATTCATCATTTGAACCCAACGTTTAAATAATTAACAAACAGTTATTTTTTTTGTCATGAGATTGGAGTATAAACTGAATAAATAAGCTTCCCTTTTACGCAGAATAAGAATATTGTTTTGATATATAAATACATTGCAAATAAATTGTTTAATGGTTCATATGTTATTACAAAATGTATGTTCTTTAAATATGTGTCCAAGATGGAGGGAACCTGTTCTGTTTTGTTCGTGATTAAATAAATATTACGACTCATAAACAAAAAATACCTGTATATTATATAACATACAGTTACAATTTAAAATACACAAATATCTTAAATCCGTCCTACAGCCTTCCTGTTTCTTGTACGTTAAATATAACATGACAATCGTGGTTAATTAAAGCAATTAATGAAACATAACAAGGTCATACCGGTAATATAGGCACCTCCTTCGGGAACGAGCGTGTTTGTTGGAAATTAAAGTCATAATTTTCATCTGTAATTAAAGGAGGCAGTTCAGTACCATTTCTGTAATGTCTAGTTGTTATTCCTGTCGCAATCAGATGTGCGTGCTGGAGTGTGGCAAATGCCTTAATTTCGGTCATGTTGCTTTTGGCGAAACCCTTTGAGAATAAATACAATTATATAAAGATTTAGTTTTGTATCAAAAATTGATTGATATAACCTGTGATGAGAAATACTATAAAAGTTTTACATCTCTCACGCCCTGTAGCACTGACTAAATGTTTTTATAAATACACCGTTTCCTGTTTGTGCATTTAACACAGTTCGGAACTTTTTAGAAAAAAGCTTGATATTGTCATATATAAGTTAGGCTCTATATTAGTTAAAAAATTCACCCCTCTGTTGTAATTCTCATAAAACATATACTATATTCTCTTGCATTTTAATACAATTATTCTATTTTACTTTTTTGACCTTAAAAGGGAATACACTTTTATGATCAAAAGAATTTCAATACCAGATTTAAGCAGTCTTCAGTACAAAATGTCTTGAACACGTAATCTGTCACGCCTGGAGGCACAACCTGAGTGTCGTCTGATACTGTGCCAAGCGTTAACAAACCAGCATCATATTGTCGTACATTAGATGTTATAGTCATCCGGAAACCAGAATTGTCGATCATGTGCGCTTTTTGAGTCGGATTATCGTAATGCGTCTCCATGACATAGAAAGAGTCTTCATCCGGGCCTCCAAACGGAAATCCCACGTGATCAGGAAAATAATATGGCTGCAATTAAAATGACATTGAATTATATATATTATATTTATCATTATGGTATCAATGTTTATTATGATCAGAGAATAACTTCATTCAGTACCAACATATCTAAAACGTTCATTTTCAATTGCATGTTTATTCATTTTATAGCTACATGCGATCTGTAGAAACTTCTTTCAGTTGATTTCATGTTTAAACGTTAATAAATATGTCGAATCCGCCATAAATGCGCATGTTTCGTCTTTAAAAGTTAACATTTATACCTCGTTTAAAACTTAAAACCTTATGTTTTAACCTTTAAAACATTATTATAACATTTGTCTTTTATAATTATAAAACAGCCTTTATCAGTTTATAAAAATATGAAACAAGATACCGTTTCAACAACCACGAAGAAACAATAGAAACTAAATTTGGGTCATTGCTAAATGAAAAGAATCAATAAGATCCAATAAGATAAACATAGTTTTGAAAGTTGGAAACTTTCTCAACCACTGCTCAATCTGAAATGTGTACTAAAATTCAAATTCAAATAGTACGAATTCAATTCAACCAGTTTATCTTAAACTATTAATTACTTGAAATTTTATATATGTATATAATTATACTTCTAAAACAATTTTTAAACATCGAAGAATATGTAAAATATGTTCCTCATTATATGCAATCATTAAAATATATGCACTCATTTCTTATTGAAAAATTTGACTAAGACTTTATCAAAAATAAATTTCTAATAACCTCCCTTTATTAGTATGAAATGTAAATTCGGTAATATCTTTACAAATAATGCTTTTTGGAACTTACAATATTGATTAATCTCCAATTGAGCATAATATTTATGATATAAAACCATACAAATTGTGTTACAAGATCTTTAAGGTTTCAAAATGACCGTCTGAATGGTGTTTTGTTACAATAACTACTCTTAACTATTGACAAAGCAACGTTTGGGTAACTCTTTTAGAGACGAATGCAAAGTTCCCTTAGTACTTATTGTATACATGTTGTATATCATTTTGCCAAAAAATATTCTCTGATGTAAAATCAAACGAATCAAGGTAATCTAAAAATAAAAAAACCTGTCCCCCAATTGCCCAGACGATGGTCTGTTTGTAACATTGTGGAAGGATTCTGTTCTTGTAACACGTCCCTGAAACCCCGTCCCAGCGGTCCGGATCTGCTAGTTTACACCGGTATAGAACAATATGATGAACATGTTGTTCATTGCCTGGTGTTATGACTGCCTCGAACTGAAATAAATTACATTAATCATTAAATATTGTGTTACCACTAAAGGGATTGGTTATTTTGATTTCAGCTTTGCAGTATGTGTCATATTGACGAAATAGGTCTGCCATATTCGCATACTTGGACCGGATAAGACATGCACTACGCCAACTCACATCTTACTAGCATAACCTACAACTCTGTTTCTTTCTGTATTCTTAAAATTTATTTCAAGTAAACATACTTTTGTTATACAAAAATACATGTATTCTTTTTATTCATATTTTCTGAGACCAAACGATACTGTTGGTTATCAGGCAAGCTTATTTCAGTGTTGATTTATGGTTGAATTTCGTTAATTAGAATTGTTGCATTGTCATTTGAAAGAAACAGTATTACCTTAATAATGTGGTGTTTTTCTATCGTTGGTATCTTAAATCCTCTACAATTGTATGTTGTCTTGTCAGATGGTACCAGAAACTAAATAAAATAACATAATATCAACATTTAATCAGTCTAGACTGGATGTTTTGGATAGTGTATCGTTTAATTGAAAAAGTGTTTAATTGTACGCTGTTCGGTTATAGTTTAAATGTATGAACGTTAACCCAAGTTATCATAACGGATGGTTCCAGTCTTCTATTTACAGACAAATTTCTTAATTTGCTTGAATCAGTTATATCAAATACTTTCGTTCTAATTCTAATCCATATAAGCAGGTAATTTAACCACCTATTTTTAATTTACAAAATATTAACAAAATAAATAGGTAAAATACATGTAGAACAATATCGGTCTATTTCAGCTATAATTGGAATTGGAACAATTTCCACCTAATTTCAACAATACAAGGATCAAGCTCCGCCTATTTGCAATCATATGTCAAACTATGCCTATTATAAGTGACATAGACCAGATTCCGCCATGTAAGAAACAAAATGTGCTTAATTTAGACATATCTTCACCAAAGTAGCCTGTCAGCACACTTCACATTTCAATTTTTCTTTGTTTTCCCTACTTGTTCTACTTACATTGCCGTTCCGAAAGTCAAAATATGTGACATTGTCAGGTAATTTGGTATTGTCAGCGGTTTCTGGACTAAGAATCGATGCACTCTTGGTCCCACGTGTTGTGCCGTGATATGTAATTGAGTTATCGTCACTTGGATCATTTTGACCGTATGCATAGATAAGACGTACTGTGTCTAGCTATTTAAAAAGAACACAAACGTTTATTGACACAAATGAGATTTGTTATGTATTTTCATACCGTTTTCTACAAGTTTAATGCCGCAAGTAACGATGCCAATATCTATAAAAGAAACTTATTTTAATATTATAGTATTTAATTCAATTAACCTGCCTAACTGTTGATAGCGTATGACATGAATGACGATTCAGTTTTTTTGTTTTAAACGATTTGAATAAAGCAGTATGATGAAAGCCTCTGTACTTGCAATTCACGTTCTATTATCGGACAAGAATACAAGTCAGAACGGCTAACATTATAATTATGCTAGCAGTCGTAACTTGTATAGCAAAACTTGACACTTACTGGAATCACTTTGTCCTCGTCTTTGTCGCACGTGTTTATCTTTCTTACAAATTTCAGTACTGTGCCAAATTCATTCTCTTCGCCATGGAGTAACTCCCAGTCTTGTGATTTGTCTATAACTGGCATACTGTGTGCGGTTGTATGGCGATCCTGGGATACATTAAAAAGAAGAAGCTAAAATGCACATTTTGCTTCAGCAATGTTTTCTTTTAATTTTTAGAAGTGACAATCATGCATTAAATAATATTTTGAACATATTTGATGCTTATCACTGGAAGTAAGTAGCGCTGAATGTGTGATTGACTGATTGACTTTCTTTAGACCGGGCGGTCAATGATAACCTACGACAGTGCAAGCACTTATTTCCAGTAGGGTCCTTACCTCAGCAGACTCTAGAGACAGCTATGAGATACAAGGGAGTCCGGGAACCAGTCCTTAGCTCTTATTTAATAGATCCCTTGGTTCTTGTACATGCCCAGTGTATAGCACTGATACATGCGAGGATTACCTGGGTTTCGTACTAGTAAGTCTCTAGGTAGGTGGGAAACACTGAAAGTGTTTCTGAAAAATCCATATGGTGTTACCCTGGATCGAATCCGTAACCTCAGGAGTGTCAGTCAGTGGTCTAACAAACTGAGCTATCGTGCCACCATGTAACTATTTTAAAGGAGCAGCAAAATGTAAACGAAGTGGTATTAACCAAAAAGGGTTTTAAATTCTCTCTAACTGCACTATACAAAAACAAACGAAGGAACCAGAAGATGGTTGAAAAATGAGTACTTACAGGGCAAGGAAACATAAAAAGTAATTTTAAATTTAAACTAAAAGCATGGGGTTTAATTTACCTTTAATGAACACTTACAAAAGTACGTAAAATATAATTTTTTATACCGATGATAAATTTCTACATTTGTATTGGAAAATGTTATAATCAACTCGAAGGAATATTTGAGATAAATGTTCTGTGATTTTGTTTTACTCAATCATTTATTTTTATAACTTTATATTTACACTCAGTAAAGATCAATAATATTATTTAAACTAGATGTACTGTGAAGGGAGTAGATATGTTTTTTTATGTTTATTTGTTATTCTTGAAAATGTGCTTGGGTCATGTTATCGTAAAACATTATATATTACCATAGACTATTTATACGTAATTTGATAAAATGTCGCTATAAACTTAGACTACATACAGAGAAATACACCGATCCATTATTTCGGACCCAGCCTACGACAACATCCGCTGGAAACATCTTGCCATTGCTTGAAATGCCAAAGCCAACCCATCCTAAAAATAACATTGCTTAAAAATGATTGAAACTATCAATATTTACTGCGAAACAAAACAATAGAGAAAAAAGAATCTCAAAGAAAGCCCAATACGGCAAAATTGTAAAATGCTGCAGGCTCGAATTGATCTTGTGTCACATATTCATTAAAGTTGGCTCTAAAAATTCGGTCTTTTCCTGCATCCTGCAATGAACATTTCAATGACCAACTGCAACATTAATCTTGTTAAGATACGTTCCTTGGTGCATTTCTAATCAAAATAAATTGGGAAAAAATCTACCTTTTGTTTTTACATGCACTTCGAACGTCACGTGAGAGTCATTAAAGTTCCAGAAGAGTAGGTAGTTCCCATGTGCGTCCAGCTCCAAAGCATTGTCGAAATGTTCCGTGGTTTTAATTCCAGGAAATTTCGAACACCACGCGATACTCACAATAGCCGAAACAAATATTATTGTTTTCATGCTCAGTCTAAACGAATTATCGTTCTCCCTTTCGACTGGCTTTTTTTTATATGTTACCATAAGAGGTTTGTAACTGAGGCGCAGTAAGGGACACATTTTCACATTGCTATAATATGAACATTTGCTTTACTACAAACACTTTTCATCTTCTGATAAATAAAGATTTTCTGATACTTTGAAAAATATATTTGCAGATTTGCACTTAATTCCTTTGAAACTTGTTCCCTTAGAAAAAGGGCAGACATTAAGTGAACTTAGGGTTCAAGTTTGCAATATAAAAAATCATATAACAGTAAAATTAAATTAAAAAAGTATCTGTGTAAATGCTTATTGTGATATATCTTTGTACAGTAATCAACTTGTACATATTCAACATTTCCGTTTGAACTTTGAACTCAAAATGCTTTGTGCAATTTTATTGCAGTTATCGATCGCACAATCTTTTTACGCTAAATGGGAATTTAAAGCCCAGCCTGCTGAAAGCAAGTAAGTATACCTATCCGACCAATGCAGACCAAGATCAAACCATGTATGTTTGTGGCGTATGAACATGCTCTGCATTGTTTGCTATTCTTTGAGAAGATATTTTAAAAATTCCCTATATATGATGAATGGTTTTGTCCAGGTTAAATGATAGAAAAGTCCATTTAAGATATTAAGGTGTTAATGGTTCCAATATATCATGGAGAAATATCAAATAATCTTTAGAATATTTTACAGGAATACTGATAGGGCCTCAATTAATACATGCGCTTAACTAGTATTTAACATTTCAAAATACACATCAACACCTTGTCATGTCGACTTATTACTAACTTATGCGTCTGATAACATTGACTTTGTCATACATTATCACCTTGACTATTTCAAAATGACATAACTTGGTTTCTATTGACAGATGGTTCCCGTTGAAATCTGTATGTAAAATTTTATAACTGAACAAGGTCCCAATAACATCACATAAGTTGGAATTTAAGATTGTCTGAGAATGGGTAGTGACTATCAGTGTCTGAAGTACGAACTGATAATAAATAAGTACGCATAAAAAAGTATACAGTAAATGATTTAATTTCCTCTCTTTGAAGAAATATAGTTTGTGGAAATGAGAAAACAAATGCTATTATTATGTGTCTGGCATCTTTATTTGTACAGTTATTTACATGTAGGATTGTACATAATCTTAGCTCAAAATATTGCAATCATACCGGAAAAACGTATTTTTATATCATTTTAAATACATTATAGCATGACATATATTTAACCAGTGCTTAATATAATTTTACATAGCATAATGTAAACACAAAGTAAAATATGCTGTGAAATTAGCCGTGCGATTCAAATATTTTACATATTAATTTAACAAAACGTTTCTAAAAATAAAGTAACTTTTTTGGTCATATAGATGGGGTTAATAATAAATTTCATTTAAGTTTTGTCATAGTACAATGTTATAGATATAAACACATTTAGGACCATTTGAAGAATGATAATTAACTAAGGGACGACAATGTAAATGATCCTTGTTATATAAAACATTATGGTATAAATGTATCTTATCTCGATATTTGAATAATTAAGGATCTCAAATTCTTCCTCTAGACCGTTATCTTTAGTTCATACTTTGAAGTAAGTGCACTTGATGTTTTATAAAATTTGTTATACCTTTCATGTCCTATTTTCAAAGTCATTGATTACGAACTTTAAAAATAAAGCAGATAAATGTTGTGAAGTATTCATTTTATAACTTCATATGTGGAAGCTATTATTATTACTATTGCACAGATCGTACAGACTTCGCGAGTCAAGCCCTCCCCCACTAACTCCCTTCCCCGCACGTGTGGTTGATATGTATGGGTCTCCCTTCAAGAAAAAACCCGCATGCAGCCGTATGATATTATTGTATGACAGACTCCCTTACCCTACACACCGTGTCACCGTGACAAACTCCCTAACCCTACATGTCACACACGTGACACACGCCCCTACCCTACATATCACACAACGTGACAGACTCCCTTACCCTACATGTCACACACCGTGACAGACTCCCTTACCCTACATGTCACACACCGTGACAAACTCCCTAACCCTACATGTCACACACGTGACACACGCCCTTACCCTACATATCACACAACGTGACAGACTCCCTTACCCTACATGTCACACACCGAGACATACTCACTTACCCTGCATGTCACACACCGTGACAGACTCCCTTACCCTGCATGTCACACACCGTGAGAGACTCCAAAATCCTGCATGTCACACACCGAGACAGACTCCATTACCCCTGCATGTCACACACCGTGACAAACTCCCTTACCCTGCATGACACACACCGTGACAGACACCGTAACCCTACATGTCTCACACCGTGACAGACACCGTTACCCTACATGTCACACACCGTAACAGACTCCCTTACTCTGCATGTCACACACACCACGACAGACTCCCTTACCCTTCATGTCACACACCGCGACAGACTCCCTTAACCTACATGTCACACACCGTGACAGACTCACTTACCCTCATGTCACACACTGTAACCATAACCCTACATGTCACACACCACCGTGACAGACTCCCTTACCCTACATGTCACATACCGCGACAGACTCCCTTACCATACATGTCACACACCGTGACAGACTCCCTTACCCTTCATGTCACACAGCGTGGCAGACTCCCTTACCCTACATGTCACACACCGTGACAGACTCACTTACCCTTCATGTCACACCGTGACAGTCCCTTATCCTACAGGTCACACACCGTGACAGACTCACTAACCCTTCATGCCACACACAGTGACAGACTCTCTAATCCTACATGTCTCACACCGTGACAGACACCCTAACCCTTCATGTCACACACCGTGACAGACTCCTTTACCCTACATGTCACACACCGCTTACTCCGGAATCATTTCAACTATGTAGAAATATTACTCTCTCAGCCTAAATACATGTTTTAATTGAGTTGCTGGTTTTTTTAAATCTGCTTTAAAATAAAACGTCGATGTGTCTATCTATATTTCGTCGCGAGTTCCGTGTTAAAATCGCAAGAAATATACGAGATGTTAAAAATAGGATAAAAAAAGAATATTTAATATATATGTCGATGATTGAGCAACATTTAGGTCAATAGTATTCAACTCTAGCTATCTTGCTGTTAAAATTCCCATTTAAATATTTATCTTATCTTAAGGAAATCAGTAGGCTGTATTGTTTATTCGAAAACGTTTGTTGAGGAGATCTCGTAACGGTATTGGGGTTCTTGCAGATATTTTCAAATCACCTGTCAGACCAGGAGGCCACTTTTTGTGTTACCTTTTTCCAGAATTATGACTAATAGCGATTCACCTGTGTGTATGTGTGTGTGTTTGTGTGTGTGTTATAAAGATTATATAGTGAACTTGAAAAAATCTTCTTGTGAAAAACCACTAGTCCAATTTCAACCAAACTTGGCAGGATTGTTCCTTGGGTGAAGGGCTTCCAAAGTTGTTCAAAGAATTTCATTCCATGCAGAAATCTGGTTGCCATGGCAACCAAAAGGAATTATAAGAATAAATTTAAAAAGGCCTAGAGCTTAGATATTTTGCATAAGGCATTGTCTGGTAGACCTCTAACAAGATTGTTCAAATTATAGCCCTGGGGTCAAAATTGGCCCCGCCCCGGGGGTCATTGATTTTCACTATGTACATATAGTAAAAATTTAAAATACCTTCTTGTAAAAACCCAAAAGGCCAAGAGCTTAGATATTTTGCATATGGCATCATCTGGTAGACCCTTACCAAGACTGTTCAAATTATAGCCCTTGGGTCAAAATTAGGCCCCGCCCCGGGGTCATTGATTTTCGCTATATGTACTTATAGTAAAAACTTAAAACACCTTCTTGTAAAGACCCAAAAGGCTTAGAGCTTAGATTTTTTGCATAAGGCATTGTCTGGTAGACCTCTACCCAGATTGTTCAAATTATAGCCCTGGGGTCAAAATCGGCTCGCCCCAGGGGTCATTGGTTTTCCTTATATGTATATAGTTAAAACTTTAAAAAAAACTCTTCTAGCAATTGACAAATGCTAAAGGTTAGATATTTTGCATGAAACATTGTGTTGTAAAACTCTAGCAAGATTGTTCAAATTATAGCCCTGGGGTCAAAATTGCCCCCGCCCTGGGGGTCATTGATTTCAATATATACATATAGTAAAAAATAAAAAAATCTTATTGTCTGAAGGTACAAGGCTTAGAGCTTTAATATTTGTTAAATAGTATCATCTAAAGTTGTTCAAATTTTGCCTCTTGTGTCAAAATTAGCCCCGCCCCTGGGAGCCATAGGTTTATCCTATATGTATATAGTTAAAACTTAAAAAATCATCTTCTCTAAATTTACAAAGAATAAAGTTAAGATATTTTGCATGAAACATTGTGTAGTGAACCTCTAGAAAGCTTGTTCAAATTATAGCCCTGGGGTCAAAATTAGTTCCGCCCCGGGGGTCATTGATTTTCATTATGTACATATAGTGGGAAAAAAAATTTGTCTGAAGGTTCAAGGCATAGAGCTTCGATGTTTGATATATAATATCATCTATAGGTCCTCTACCAAAGTTGTTCAAATGTCAAAAATTGGCCCTGCCCGGGGCAGTGATTCTCATTATGTACACGTAGTAAAAACAGAAAATAAAACAAATGTTTTCTGAATGGGAGAAAGCTATAGCTTAGATATTTGACTTGAAATGTTGTTTGGTGGACCTGTATCAAGATTGTTATTAAACCCTTAAGTCAAAATTATGCCTTGCCCAAGGGGACAGTGACCTACTTTCTTGTCCTTTGATGTACAGCAATGACATTTTGACCGTGTGCACAGTTTTAGTTGTAAAATTGAACGTTGACCTAGATTTTGATGATGTGACCTACTTTCTTGTCCTCTGATGTACAGCTATGAAATTTGAACCATGCGGTGGCATAGCATTTTTCTCAAATGCAATTTTGTTTTATTCGGGTTTTTTTTTCTTGTTTTTTTTTTCTTTTTCTTTACTGATATCTTTGACAGTAATCGATCATAATAGAAACAAGATCATTTTAATAGGAGGGCCAAACGTCATAAAAAATATATCCGTTTACGT